TCCCGTTGCGGCCGATGGATGTGCCCACGGGTTTGGGCATCTTGATCTTGCGGACCGGCCAGACGCCCTTGACGCTGAGCTTATCTGCGATCTTGGCGGTGGTGATGTCGGGCTCGCCGGCGTCGTCGACGCTGAAGGAGGCACCATTGAAGAGGCCGAACTTGAGGTCTAGGCGGGGCTTCACGGCAAGACCGTCGGAACGCAGCTCGTCGTAGAGAGCGGAGGGGTCCTGTTCGCCGTTGAGCTCGACGATGTATGCGCCCTGGACGAAGGCATCTTCGTTGACCGCGGGTGCTGCGGGCGCGGCAGTATCGTCGGCGGCAACAACAGCATGCGATGCAGAGGCGAGAAGCCCCAGCAAAAGGGAGGCGTTGGAGGAGAACCTCATGGTGATGGCGGTGGACGCTGGAAATGAAACGAATGACCGGCGGTAACGACGGAAGCTCCTTCAATAGAGACGAGTGGGTACATCGTGAGCGTATATATAATGATCCTCTACAAGTGTCTCTGCTTTTCCTGTTGTTGATGTCGTGGAGTTGGGTCTGGGATAGCGATTGTGCGAGCCTGCAAGTGACGGGCTACGGATCGTGAGTGAACACGAGAAATTGGGACCTTCCCAAATGGGTAGCGAAATTTCCGGCCCATTGTGGTTCGTGGAGATCTTTGCCTAAGCTTGCCGCAACAATTGAGTTGCTTGATAGCTGCCAAGCCGGCAAAGATATCCTCGCTTTCGCATCTTGTCTGCTTTTCCAGTTGTCATACTCGGCCGAGAAGTATGGATCAAGATGGAATTCAGAGACGCTAGACCAGTCTTGAGCTTCAGAATGAGATTCAGAGATGAAAAGGGTAGATACCTCGACAAAAGCAATCGCAACTTTGTACCATCACTACAATATCACCCTCGGCCGACAGCCGAACTCAAGGTCGTGGGGCCGCAGGTCGTATTCGAAGATCACAGTGGGCCGAGCGCACATCGCTACAGTCTTGGAGCACGTCGCTACAACAAAGTGAGCAGACGAGCTTAGATTAATCTTCATCCTGGACGCTGTCGATGTGCTCTCATATCCGTATCTCTCAATGTCCAACATCCCCGCCGTAGCCGACAAAGCCGGGCCCCGTTGTTCGTTTTAGCTGCCGGGTGTGGCACTTTTAACCTCGTCCGCATTCATAAGCTTAATCTACCTTAACTTTTGGTGGACTTTATTTAGCCTTAGGTCACCCGGAGTCGGCAAGGGTGCAGCGGCCTGCATATGTCGAAGATAGCGTGATAGAGGACTGCATCAACTGTCAGCCACCTACAGCACAAATCTCGTATTTTAATCTGCAATGGTATTGAACATTCTCGGTGCGTCTTAAAGAGGCAAGTTGTAGAGTCTGAACAGCTCATGTGGACGATCCAATTGGTGGGGTTGTAAAGAGTACTCCGTACAGCGGCAGTCAACAGTGTCTTCTGCATTTGGGAAAGCCGTGGGATCCGTGGAACCCCGACTCCAACTAACGCATTCAGAGGCCAATTGATGGCAACAGAGTCCAAATCCCCAACTGGCGCAAAAGAGCGACGGCTTTCAACATTGAAAGCTCACCAAAACAAAATAAAATAGCACAACCTGGTTTCGATCCAGGGACCTCTGGGTTATGAGCCCAGCGCTCTACCCCTGAGCTATTGTGCTTGATACTTGTGGGGATGAATGGTGAATCCACATCGAATTGCGCGAATTTTACTAACCAAGTTGCACCATCGTGAGGTTTCGACGCGTCTTCTATCAACTACGTCGCGGTCGTTACCACCGATGAGAGCTTCAAGGACCAATCTAAGCCATCATTTATTCGGGGTTTGCATTCAGTTGGTTGTGGTATTGTGTCTATCTTTACCAAACCTAACAGGATCCAACAACCGCAACATTGCAGAGAGCTTTTTACCAACGCTCTAAAGAACGCGTAAAGATGAATGTCATCCGATGGGAACTCGTGAACTAAGAAACTCAAGAAATCCTCCTCGTTTGAAACTTGCCTTCCTTTGCCAACCCAATCTCCAGAACTCATCCATCTTCAATCTCTTTGCACAGGATGCAACTTCACCCACAACGGTGCCTTCTCCCAGACCATGAACACCTTCTGCGTCCCAATCCAATCCCCCTCTGTAGCATTCTCGATATCAAACTGCCACAACAACCTCGCCATGATGATTTTAATTTCGGCATAAGCCAAATTCCTACCAATACAGTTGCGCGGCCCAACCTGGAACGGCTGCGACGCATCACGCTGGTCTCCAGCAAACAGCCGCACGTCCACATCCTCATCGGCTGCTCCGTTCTTGTTGCTATCATCCTTTGTAGTCATCCATCGTTCAGGGATAAACTCCTCCGGCAGCGTCCAGTTGAGGGGGCTGTGCGAGGCAGCGTAGATGGGAATGCTGACTGCCGTGCCCTCGGGCAAGAAAACGCCGTCGACGGTCGCGCCGCCGGCGGGCACGATGCGGTGGTGCGGTTGCGGGGAAGGCGGGTAGACGCGAAGAGCCTCTTCGATGCAGGCGAGGAGGTACTTGCAGCTATTGACGCCCGTGAAGGTGATTTCGTCTGGGTGGGAAAAGGTTGAGCGAACTTCAGTTGTGAGTTTGGCGAGAACGCGGGGGTTCTGGGTGAGGAGGTATGTGAGTCCTAGGTGATGTTGTCAGTTATGGGTTACCTGTTCCTTCATGAAGCGTGACTGTGGTGGTTGGAAACATGTCGGCTTACCTGCGAGCAAAGTCGCAGTGGTCTCGCTCCCGGCAGCGATGAGGATCTGTGAGTTCCCTTCGAGTTGTTTATACGACATTTTCCCCGCGTTGTACGCCGAAATCAACCTCTCCATGAAATCAGGGACGGTCGCTTCCGTTTTGAGCCGGTGCTGGACCTTCTCCTGGGAAGTTTCAATCCAGACATTAGCATAGTTCAAGAGGCAGGACCACTCAAGCTACACCGAGGAGCTTCAATCAGTGGTTCACTTACACTCTGAAGTTCATTCAGCGTCTTCACATCCTTAGAGATAGTCTTCGGCATCGTCAACAGCGTCGCGGGAAGCTGGAGCAACTTGGGGAGACGGGAGATGGCCTGGTGGAAGGACATGAACTTCGCCAGGGCGAAGAAGATCTGGACCCAAGTGTGAAGGGTCGACGTTGTCAAGCAGTCAAACGACTCGCCAAAGGCTACAAAGAAATAGTGTCAGATAGGAAGCTAGAGTTGATGACACACGGAAGATGGAATGGCAAACGTACTGAGGAATCCGATGAAGTCGAAGGTGAGAAACTGCAAGATATCATCAGTATCACAATCCCTCTCCTGACGCGCTCGCTGTTAAACCGCCGATATCAAGGAAACTTACATTATACCACTCCACAACATCAACAGGCCGTCCTCCCTCCCCCACCTCCCCAAGCTTCGCAAACAAGACATCAACAAACCCCTTCAACACCTCCTCCTGCTCCCTCAGAGCCTTCTCCGAGAAGCCATGCGCGAACAACCTACGAATGTACGAATGATACTCCCGGTCCGCATTTATAATCACTGCATCGCCCTTGAGCGCAGAATGATACTTACTGTCTTTACTGAACTCGAGCTGACCGGGCGCCTTGTGCCCGTAAATCTCCTTCCACTGCGGCGCCTTGATGTACGACAGGGAATCGGGGGATGTGCGCACGACGGGGCCGTAGGTGTTGTGTAGCTCGAGAAGGTCGTAGGGAGTGCGACCGTTTAGGTAGGAGAGTGCTGTCCACCATGGTGTTGCCGCTGCGAGACGTGGGCCTGGGAAGGAGGAGAGGGGGTGGAAGTAGATGTTGTAGACGGCGAGTGCAGTGTAGTAGAAGATGGTCTTGTGAGTGATTAGCTATGTTTCCGTATAGTATGTGAAGCTAATTCGACACTTACGATAATGATAGCACACGGGATGAGCCACAGCCCGTGATACATAGTCACAGACTCGAAAGCGATAAACATTTTTATATGTTGTTTTCAATTGCAGATGAAAAGGACTTCAAAAATCCAACGCAAGTCAATATAGACTGTGAGAATGAGGGAGAAGAGCAAAAAGAAAAACGCAGCTTCTGAAGCGCATGCTCCAGATATACTACTGTCTTTCCAAGCATAAGTCGTCCACCAGATCACGGACGCAGAAGAAGCCGTCCAGAGTGACACGATAGACGGCAGAGCTACCACAGCATCAAGTTATGCAGAATTGTGCAGACCATGGGGACGCACAAGTCATGCACTTCGATACTTTGACCAATGACGGCGCTACAATCCATCAATTTTGGCGAGATATGCACAACGCTCGTTTTATGTACCAGGAACTTGCATCGTTTCACCCTCCCGCAATGTGGGGTCGGGCTTCTTGAAGAACCCGAAGGCTCTGGCGATGATTCCCCGGATATCACGACTTGGATGGAGTCTCTCAAGCCATTCAATTGAGCTATCAAACGCCATGTAACACTCGAATACGCGGAAACGATAACCCTAGTTTCTGATAACTCAATTAAAGTGTGGTCAAATCCTTCAAGGTTCAATGTCTATGGATCATAGTCTTCGACTTTTGTCCCTAAAGCCGATTCAGCGGTCAATCCAGATCAGACGAAGTCGCGCCTCGTCGGGTTGCGGCTATTGGTATTGAGCTGAACACCACTACATCACTCATCCTCTTCCGTGAAGTCCAAACAGTGAAGTTTAAGTATACTTGCGCACGAGTGAAGTCAATGACATTTGCTTTTACATACAAACCCGCCGTCGATATTTTGTTCCTCCACAGTCTTATCCCCCATCAAATTCTACTTCTCAACCACTGATTCTCGACAACGAGCGAATGAATTACTACCAATCTTTGCCATTTCGAAACTCTCTACACTCAAACCTCTCCATCCTCATTAACTAAGACCACGCAACAAATCCTTGGATTCAAACTCCTAACCAATATCTAGAGTATAAAACCAACCAAGCTTAACTTCACCAACTCCTCCACATCTCCCCCAAAAAATGAGGTACGCCAAGCCCTCAAGCGCCGCCCCCAAATCCATCCCTCCCCCTCTTCCCGTCCGTTCCTCCCGCCGCTCCGCGAAGCACCAAGAAAAGCGCGGCGAAGTGGCGCATCTCCCGCAATTAATCATACCTTCGGATACGGATGCTTATTCGCTTCATCGCCAAGACACCAGTGACGCTCTCTCCCGAATCGCCGCAACGCCCCGGGGGCCCTGTGGCTTGCCGACGTCACTGCATCTTGGTATTGACGTCGAGCGAGCGACGAATCTGCGCCGAACACTCGATGCGGTCGCCGACTTTGACAGTGTTGCGGAAGAGTACTGAAAGATAAGTTTTGCATGAGATGGACGGGCGTTGAAGTTGTTGCGCCTGTCGCTGAAAACTCCCGATTGGGGACTATTGCAGATACCACATGCATTGCAATTGAGACAATCCTCAAGTTCACTTGATAGACGCCATTGACCATTTCACCCATAATATTAACAGTATATATAACCGCAAGAATCCTTGCATCTGCTCGGCCCTTCGCCGCACCGCTATACTCTCTCGCGTCGTTCACATAGCTTGGCTATAGCACCCCTCGTAAATGGGTATCCTAAATCATCGCAGTCGCACCGACCGCACACATCCCATCATATTCCGCGCATTAAACGAATAACAAAAACACACGAAGCTCTCGTGGCAAATGCTGCGCACACTTAGGCGACGTTGCTCTTGGCCCGGCGAATCTCCTTGCCCTTGTCGGACCACGGCAGGTGGAAAACAGGAACCTGGAAGAAGGAATTGCTGTAGAAAAATTTCAATATTAGCAAACTGAATCCACATCGCGCGCATTGTGCTACGCTGTAGCGCGGCGGGGAGGAGAGGGGAGAAACAGCGACGATGACGGCACGGTCTAGCGTAGACCTAAACCGATCGCCGGTCGAGCGGAGAGGTGGGTGGATAGAATGCACAAAAAACTCACCTATCATCCTGAAGACCTGCCAGAGCGCAATACCACGCCAAAAACGCGGCAAGCATACCAAAAGTACCACCGCATATCTGCAGGTTGCGCGATGCGGTCAACGCACCGTTGTTGGCGGCGTAGTTCTCGCAGGCGAGGAAGAGGAAAGCTAAATCGAGGGTGAAGAAGAGGGAGAAGAAGACCACGGTCGAGCGCAGGGTGCATAGGAGCAGCAGCGTCGTGAAGATGAACCAGCCCGTCAGGAAGAAGCCGACAGCTGAGTAGTGATCAGAGTAGTTGGCAGCATAGGGGCCGTCCGCGGCGATGATGCCCCAGTTGGGGGTCAAGAGGATGCCGTATGCGATCCAGAAGCCGCCGTACGATGAGAGAGCAGTGGCACCAAAGGTGTTGCCGACGGCCATCTCCCTGTGAACGACCAACCGTCAGTCAGCATTGGCGCGGATGAAGGACGCAAAGTGATGACTGGTTTGTGATGCTCGTATTACACAAGCTTCTCCACAGGTTCCCCTGGTCCCGGGCGTAGGCAAGCATCCTGGGGACCAAACTTCCCCGAGTCCCCCATGCTTGTGTGTCTAGCTCGAGGTCCACTCCGGCGCAAAGGAGCGCGTCCATGCTCCACATGAACGCACCGGAGCTTCCGCTTGCGGGGGACATCGTGGAGACGGTTGAGATGAGATGTTGGGGAAGTTTTGGGGACCCTGGCACGGAAAAGGGAAAAAGAAAACATGGGAAGGAAAATCTGGACATACCACATGCCAGCGAGGAGCTGGACCAGACCTCCGTATCCAAAAGCGAGGGGGACGGCAATGTTGGGCGCAGTCACGCCGCGAGCGTGGAGGTTGACGCAAGAAAGGACGAACGTCGTGAGGGCGAAGGCTGAGAGACCGAGTGGTGCTGGGTTGGCGAACTTTCTGTGTTCGTACGGCTTCCATACACCGGGTTGGAGCGAACCACCGAATGCCTGCGCTTCTCCTTCAGTCATGTTCCGGTAGTCGGCAACGCGGGAGAAAGGCCCGGCTTGTCGTGAATATGTGTTTTGGCCTACTTGAGCACCATTGGCACCATTGTAGTGGTCGGCACCAGAGGTATGCACGTCCTTCTCCACGTCCTGTGGAGGGACGGCGTTGTGGTGAGCCTCGTGTGTGGCCATTGTGTGTAGTCTTCCGGGTGTAAGAGATAATAAGGTAAGTATGTAACCAAGGAGAAGAATGAATATAGGGGGGTATCTTGTAGCAAGAGTAGGCAAACTCCACGGAAGACGGCACACAACTTTGATGAAGGAAGGTTTCTTTCGACTCCGGGGAATGGGTGGGGAGCAGTCTTTAAGTAATGGGGGAAGAACGGGGTTCGAGGCAAGAAACGATCAAGCCAGGACGAACGGAAGCCGGGGTCGAGGGTCAGCGCAAAATGCAGAATGCTGATGGGCCGGTAGCTTCGTGAACGTGTGTGAACGTCTGGGGTATGTACAGATACGTGGGCCCGACTGGCGCGGAGAACTGGAGATGGATGAGGAGGAGGAGGAGGAGAAGCAGCGTGGAGGACAAGTGAGGAGAGGAGGCGTCGTCTGCAGGAGGAAGAGGGAGGGAGTGGGTCGAGTAAGATCGCGTAGTTGGTAGACTAAGAGGGTGTGAGGGCGAAAGGCGAGCCGTCTGCTTCCAAGGGCCGATCTTTAAAGCCCAGAGAAGAATGAACCGGGGGACGAAATGGGAATGGGGTGCAACGGAGGCTCCATAATAGATTCATTATTTTTAATATTTTAGGTTGCGATGTCGGGTGGTGGTGGAGTGACCACTGACACGGCGTCGGAGCCCGCCATTGGAAGGGGAGATCTGCTGGAAATGACATGGAAGAAAATCCGCAATGGCGCGAATAAAACCCTCCTCTCGTCTTCCCCAGAGGCCAGACGGGCCGAAAAGGAAGGGTCTGCTGGTAAAGGGGTTTTCCATCGCCATATGCTTCGAAGCCAGCATGCCAGCTCAACGACGACATGCCCAGATCGTATGGAGACGGCCAGCCCTCGGACTGGCGCATTAGTGAGCTTGCAGCCCCTGTGAGAATAGCAGCTCCTCGATCCATCCCCTTCAACAGTTCGGCAGGTCTTTGCTTACATCCCGACCATCCGGTCAGTGATGCAAGTAGCGGGGGAACAAATCTCGGGTTGTTGAAGGTAACTTGGTCTTGCCCAGCCCTCGTAAACTTGGTATCCAATGATGGGGAGGAAGGCCGATTTGAGAGAAGAGTCTCGCCATCTCAAGCTCTGAGACATCTTGGAACGGTCATCCTTTCGCCCATCCCTGCTGGTTTGAGCTACTGTCGAATTCCAGTGTTCGGAATACCTAGGTGCGGAAGATTCTGACAATTGAGAATACCCAGCAAGAAAACATGCGACGACCAAAGGAGCAATGGAGATGGATAGCTCCCTGCCTTGGAGTGACTGCCTTGGGCCACTTGGGAAATCAGTCCACGAACTGATGTCATTCCCACCTTTTCCGTCACCAGAAAGCTTCTCCAATTTTTTAGGCGTGGCTCCTCTGGTCGCCGTCTGCAACTAGCAAGTAGCGGGGGTGGGTGATGAAAGGCAAATCATTATTGCATAAGCGGCCTGGGCTTGCTGTTGTCGAAAGCTACCCCCAAAGCGCCTAGCCTCTGACGTTTGTCAAAGGACAGTTAATTAGCGACTGAAATACCATATGGCCGAAGTCTCGTTCATCCCGTCCCCAAAGACGTCGAGGGCCGCATCTGCAGAGTATAGCCCGACGTTTCTAGATGGCGCTGCTCGTTCCCTTTACCATGCTGTCCAGCAGCCTAACGCCGACGCAGACACGATGCGTGGGATTGCGGATACATCGCTGAGTAGCAGCAGGCCGACCGGCCAAGACGAGATTGAGCCCCAAAATGCAGGGAGGGCGTGGCGATAACACCTGATGTAACTATCACTGTAGCGGAATTGAGAGGTGCGTCTCCCGTCTGAACGTTTTCGGACTGGCGTTATGCTCTGCCCTGACGCCCGGCCTTCCACGAATTCCGTCCAGATTGTTCCCTCTTCGCGGTCGCGCTCTCATTGGGCGATACAGGAGGACGGCAAAAAAGGTCCCTTTGAGTTGTAACTTGTAGCGGCACATCGATAATACCGTGTGTCATGAATATGGTTGAACCAAAAGGCCTAGCGGACCAAGGGTAGCACTTCGGCGGTGCTGGATGAAAAAATCATTCCTGCAACAGGGGACTGGCCAAATTACCGCCACGGCTCTTCCCCGTCTTGGCTACGGATCGTGGGCGGGCATAATCTGCCGGCAGTCGGTATGATATTAGTACTGGCCCGGTTGGCGATGCTGCGGCTGCTGCTGCTGCTGCTGCCAGGCTTCTTGAGAGCGTCCAAGAGAGGAGGTTTGACTTACACCAAGACTCTTCGGGGCCGATCAACTATAGTGATCTTGTCAATGGCGAATTCCGTCTAGATTGGAGGTTACCACTCCCCAAGTTTGTAGTCTGTACGGTGGGAACATAGCACCACTGTTTCGGTCCTGCATCGCATCGCGCGTTTCAACCAATCCAGCTCTTTGGGCGAGATCTTTCTGCCTCTTGCCGGTCTTTGTCGCAATACATCTGTCATCTGGTCACATTCTGCCGGTCACTGTCCATATCAACCGTGCCCTAAAGATGGGTGTTGCGGGGAATCTGGGGGTGGACTGGCAATATCCCAGCCTATTCGAGACACCCCAAGCCCCGTTGACTCCGGCTTCAGATGTTGACGCGGATACAATACCGGGACGAAGAGTTTCTCTAAGGCGTGTGTCAAGCGTCAAGGCATTTCCTCTCTTTCTGTGTGGGAAACACTTCGAGGATGGCTTGAGAGCTCTTCTGTACCGCAATGCAGTCTACTCAGGTTCTGAGCCATCGTCCGTATGCTGAAAGCCTGCAAAGTCGAGCCAAGTTGATCTAAAGCGTCATCATGACCGTGCTGTATTGGAGTAGCCAGGTTGATCAACCCCAATAATGGCCTCCATCACAAGCGCGCAATCGACGGCCACATGGCGCTGGGCTGCGGGGAAAGCTTGGGCGATTGCTGCACACCCTTTGCCGTGGACGCGATCGACAAAAGGCCAAGTCCCATTGCTTCCGTGTATGTATGCATATACCGAGTCGAAATACACACCTTCTAGTGCGAATGGTCCGATGATGGCACCAGGCGCTGGACGAACCACGACATGTGTTCGGGCTCCCGCTGTAGTCTTTGGGGTCCTCCCTGCCCTGGACAACCATCATGCGTGTTGGCGTGCAATTGCCTTTTCCCCAGATCTGGTGGCCTCTAGCCTATTTCCCCAGACTGCGCCGGCATTGTACGTAGTTCGACTTTTCCTAGGAATTTGGAAGCAAGCCACGACGCGGAAGTTCTTGTCTCCATACACTGTTCTTACGTCCCTTCGTCCGGAACGTGGGCAGCCCCAGTTGATGTTTGACTGACAAGCGTCTATCCATTCTAGGACCTGTAACTTCGTACCTTGATCATGTCAGATGATGATTCAAAGTAGCTACTCTAGACAGACCTCGAAGTTTGGGTCGCTCTGAGGGCATTCGTGAATTCTGGGTATCGGACATACTGGACATCTTCGCTCCGAACCGGCACCGACAAACCAGAGCAAAGACATGGCAAGATGCCACAGTGGAAGTCACCTGTTCTGACGAATGCCGCGCCTGTCCGTGCCCTGTCATGCAACCCTGGACGTGGGATGCTCTGCGGTCTCTTCTCGCAGCGGTGACAGTGACACCACACTAGGGCGCTCATCACTGCCTTTTTCTACTGCCGGCTCCGGGGGATCATCAGTCCACTAACAAAATATCACCTGAACAGATACCCATTGGCTCTCAATTCCCCGGCCAGCTGCAAATCCCTCTTCCCTCCGCTGAGCCAGCTGGCAATCCAAAGGTGGCATTGGAGCATACCGAGCCGTGCGAGCGACTTTGCTCTGGGGTTGCGTGGTGATAGCAGCAACTAGTAGTTGTTAGTGAGCGACGGACTGGGGAAATCGAGGAGATCCCGAGTAGTCAGCGGGAAGGAAGTCAACGAACGCCACGAATACGACCATCACAGTAGCGGAATAGTATACAGCGCTCGTAGATTCCAAATGTCTGACGGGCGGCGTAGTCGAACACTGCAGCGTGAATCAAATACCCATGCACTTAGACCTTTGTTGCCTGGGAAGTCTGTCAAAAGATCGCGCAAAGGCCCACGCCTACTTCTTCGACCGCCCCCATGCCACGGACTGGACGAACGGCTCAGCCAGGCGGCGTACAACGACAAACTGGCGAGAATTCGTATACCGCCGTCGTTGTTCAATCTCTGGCCAGCACCTTGGCCCGAGCAAGCCGCCGTTCAACGGTAGCCGCGGATCGATTTTCGATGCCCAGCCCCTTGGTCCGTAATGCCAATGATTGAGGCTCGAGCGAAAGCCGAATGGATCAGGAGACGACAGACACATCAACCTATTCGAACTGCCAAGAAGGCGAGAAGCCAACGACGGTCACTCATTCTGTCTTTCGCAGCCCCCCTTTTTGCATGGCCAAGGCCGCTCTCGCAGCGTTTCCGTCCAGGGCTTGTGCTGGAAATGCCGCAAAGACGCCTCCTAAAAGGTCCATGGTGCGATGCCAAGGTTCATAGGGCTCCGTCAGCACGTTGTTCAGGACCCCGTCCCTCAGCAGCCGCCTGCGGCGTGGCGTTCCAGGGCCGCGCTGTTGCACGAAGCCTAGGCTGTCCAGTGGCAGGGGAGAGCGAAGGCTGCTAAGCAACTTCCATTTCTCCGAGATGCGTCCTCCTTTGGAAAGAATCGTCCCACTTCGACGCGGCGTTGAGAGGTGGATTCCCAACCTTTTCGCTGCTGTTGAGGTGCAGCCCCCGTGCACTGGCCTGGCAGAGAGGGAATGATTTCAGGTCAAGCCTGGAGCCGAACCGAGAAAGAATGGGATGGCAGACCGGAGTTTGACGTCGGGCCTCCTTTTCCGTCCGTCGGCTCGTTCGAATGCAAATGTCTGGGGTGATGTGCAGCCAAAGAAGCTAGGACAATCTGTCAGAGGTCTCCTCCTCGATAGGCACTTACTGCATTTCCCAAAGCTAGATGCGTTTTGGGATCCTAGCCTACAAACTTCAAAGTTCAAACAGTTGCATTTAGCCGTTATTGCCTGCATGCCTAGGAGCGGAAGCCGATGCCAAGAAGGGAGGCGCCAACGATCACCACCGGATAACTCGGCAGCACCCAAAATTCAGGCTACCCATGCATGCCCGTGGCATCTCGACGACCAGTGTTGATTGTTTGGCAGGATGGTTGGAAGGGAATTGATAAGATTTCTTTTTGGGGTTGCTGACGGCGCGGATGCAACCCTCACGTCTCCAATTGACTCCCCGGCGAGGCGTCCGCCGTTTCTTCGTGTAGCTAAAGTAAAACAGATGCAGTCTAGCACTCCGTCGTAGGTCGAATGACAAGCGGCCCCTAATGACAATGCGAGGGGGAGTCGTGTTGATTTGGCACCGAGGTATTTCGGTCGATAGCCAGCCAGGAGGTCGGCCGCATTTGCTGCGCTCCATGGTAGTATCGCTTGTAGGAGTAAATTCGGTGACAGGCTTGCAGGCAGCCCCCAGGACGCGGCAGATGATAGACGGGAAAATTGAAAAAGGTCATTGCTTCGCAGTCAATTTCACCGAACGAGGCCCACCAGGCGCGTCCCAACCAACAAGGTATCCTGGTGTCATCTTCCATGCATTTTGAATGAATTCGATAGCCCTCCCACACGATTTTGACAAGGAAGGTTTTCCTATAGCAGAGTCAGCCACTATCACAGTATGCGTATATCTGCGAAGCAAAATATTGTCGCGAACTCCGTCGTCATTTTCAAAAAACATCGCCGACCAATATTGCTTATACGTCAAGGACAGGATTCGAACCTGCGCGACCGAAGCCACTGCCTAAGCTGAAATCAGAAAATCCGATAGCAGGGCAGCCCATTAACCACTCTGGCACCTTGACTGTTGTTGGATAATGATTTAGGGTGCTGGAGGGAC